TGTAACAAGGACACCATAAAATAAAGTGTTACCCCACTTTTTACAATGTTCATATGCTTGCATTCTTCCAGTTATTAAAAAATAAAGGTCAATCTCATGAAATCTTTCAAAAACATGATAATTTTGGATATTATGCATATATATATATATATATATATATATATATATATGATATGAATATTGTATTCTTAGTAATGTATTACACAACTGAATGAATACTTTAAATCAACCTCTAACAACCACAACAGACACACACACACACAACAATATAATATAATAAAACACAATTTACATAATGTATTACACCAGTGAAATGAATGAATCCTTAAAACCAACCTCTGACAGTACACCCTAGTAAATACAGTTCTTCCATCAGGTGACGTAAAAGGACACATACACAATTATAAATCACAACAGCACATAAAATCTTAATCTCATTTGTTTTGTTCATGTAAACAGGTAAACCGTATGCTGGGTTTCACCCCACAGCATAAGCAGAATATAAATATTTCATGTCATCAATGTTAGCTGTGATTTGCAATCAGCAGATGCATTTCTTCTGTAGTGCACTAATAGCAGGCCATATATATTCATGTTTATGATCATATTTTATATCGATATACCACTTCTGTGATGTTAAAAGTATGTTACAATTACAGAAAACATTGTGGGACAAGTATGATACATTACGGCAATGCTAACTATATTACCACTGCTCTAAAGATATATACAGTATAAATTTCATATCTGGGACTCTTTATTTCTCTTGATTGTTGAGCAGTTATACAGTCAGAAGGGACATAAATTCAATATTTATTCAGCGCTTTTTGAAAGGCCTCCGAAGGCTTTTGTTGGGTGATCTAATTAATGAAATAATATGTTGATTTTCTAGGTTTGGGTCCCCGAGAACAGTCACTGAGACTAAGAGAATATTTACTTCCTTTTGGGACTCTGGGCTTGTATTTATTTTTATTTTTTACACTGGCGGCTTTGTAGTTTGCGTGGCTTCCTGGCGTGGCTTTTCCACAGAGAGCTCGACCACATTTCAATATCTCCTGTGAGAATCGTCTTCTTTATTGTCTGCTCTCATGAGCTAATGCTGCTCTAGGAGAGAAATCCTGTTTATTAAGAAACCCTCCAGCAAAGAGAGCCGTTTCTGAGCACTTAAGGAGAGACACGTGTAGTGCTTGTGCACGCAGTCTATTTAACAGCAAAACACAAGTATAACAAGCAATACTCTACATTAATGTGCTCATGTTACTTATATTACACGCTACTATAATTCATAACAATAATAAAAAACAACAAGAACCATGTGTAATTACAAGCTGCTCAAATAATTAATGATTAATTACATGTTGTCCAGTAGTATTACTCAGTGCTTAACTATATACTGACAGAAACATTAATGGAAAATGTGGCCATATCAATGAAGAAAAATAAATAAATATACACTGGTAGCAAAAATGTATAACAACACACCCCACACTCTAAAAAATGCTGGGTTAAATTCAACCCAGTGCTGGGTAAAATAGGGACAAACCCAGCAATTGGGCTGTTTTGACACAGCGTTTGGGTTACTACCCAGAAGGTTGGGTTAAACAAAAAAAGGGTTTTTTAGAGTGCATACTCAAGTGACCCTAAGTATATGATTAAATTAAGGTTTGTCCAAAAAAAAAAAATATATATATATATATATACTTAAACGATCATTTGATTACTGCCTATGCACTTAACGTACATTAAGTGCACATTAAATCTATTGATATGTCATCATAAAACTGCTCCCCAGTGCCGTTAAAGCAATCTAAACATGTGACAGTGATCTGACACAGAGATGAAACACTCCGCTAATACACAGATGCGGTTCATCTCAGCCGAGAGGGGGCGCTGTTGAGTTTTGAAACCGCTTGTCCGCTCGCATGTAAGGGCTTCCCGGCCACGTTTTGTGGGACAGTGGAGAAGAAAAAAAGTATCTAATAAATGAATATATTCACATTAAAACAGCATAAAGACGCGTACTCTGTGGAAACCATATGGCCATTTTAATTGCTTTAGTAGTTACATCTGTCGCTAATATATTCGTCGTGTACTTTTTTCTCTCCAATATGTCTGAGAAATATTAATAATAGCTCAAGCGATAACGTAGGCTAATTAAAACATTACTTGCGTGACATTTATGGACTTTAATATGGTCTAAATGTGGTTTCTTATAAGAAATTTCGTAACGTATAGTTACAATAGCCTAAGTGTAAATTATCTTTTTAAGGTTATTAATATATCATTTATGTATAAATCAGTATGATCATTGCATACTGTCAGATCGCTTTATTTTAAACAATAGGCAATGTGAAAAAAAAAATGCATTGAATGAAAAGATGTGCAAAAGCTTTACCTGCTTTAAACGCCAAACCCCAAAAAATCGCTGTCCATAAAGGGTTAAAATCGTCGTTTAGCTCTCTGTCAGTTCTGACAGTTCGGGAAACTTTTGTTTCTTCTCTAGTATGTAAATTGACCGTCGGATTCAGCGAGCCTATTGGCTACGAGTCCGAGTCAATTTCGTATTTCAAACCTGACGTCAGGGCGGCTATAAAACTCAGCATTGCTTTTATACTCATATGCTCGGTGATCCTTTAAAAACTCTAGAACAAGCCCGGAGTACTTTTTTTTTTTCCTCCAGCCAAGCATCCAATTGCCAATCACATACATGTTACGGTCTTCATTTCAACGAAACTATTGAGAGAGAAAAAGAAAGAAAGACAGAACAAATCCACGCAGCCATGCAGTGTTAAATGTTTGCGACTCAAACGCGTCGACACTCGCGCACAAAGAGAGAGGAACTGGAGACGCGCGCGCTCCTGCGTCTGTGCGCGAGAGGCGAATTTAAAAAAAATAAATAAATCGGCGCTCGCGAACCCTTTTCTTTGCTTTTGAAGAATTAAACAAAGAAATCAAGCTGGCTCACGCTGTCTCGAACCCCACCACTTTGACAGCTGCTCTTCACCCCCTTTGGAGGACTGTCAACAGCAAAAGGATGGCATCAGAACTGGCAATGAGCAGCTCCGACCTGCCCACCAGTCCCCTGGCCATGGAATATGTTAATGACTTCGATCTGATGAAGTTTGAAGTGAAAAAGGAGCCGGTGGAGCCCGATCGCAGCATCAGCCAGTGCAGCCGCCTGATCGCCGGGGGATCCCTGTCTTCCACCCCGATGAGCACGCCTTGCAGCTCGGTTCCCCCTTCTCCAAGCTTCTCGGCGCCCAGCCCGGGCTCCGGGAGCGAACAGAAGGCGCACCTGGAGGATTTCTACTGGATGACCGGTTACCAACAGCAGCTCAACCCGGAGGCTTTGGGCTTCAGCCCCGAGGACGCGGTGGAGGCGCTGATCAACAGCAGTCACCAGCTCCAGAGCTTCGACGGCTATGCTAGAGGGCAGCAGTTCGCCAGCGCAGCCGGCGCGGGAGGCGCCATGGCCGGCGAGGAGATGGGATCCGCCGCCGCGGTGGTCTCCGCGGTCATCGCGGCCGCCGCAGCCCAGAACGGGGCACCCCACCACCACCACCATCACCACCACCACCCGGGCGGGCACCATCCGACGCCCGGGCTGCAGTCCAACGGCAACTCCGCCAACCACCAGCACATGCACCTGGACCTGGACGATCGCTTCTCGGACGAGCAGCTGGTGACCATGTCCGTGCGCGAGCTCAACCGACAGCTCCGGGGGGTCAGCAAGGAGGAGGTCATCCGGCTCAAACAGAAGAGGAGAACCCTCAAAAACAGAGGCTATGCCCAGTCGTGTCGCTACAAGCGGGTCCAGCAGAGGCACGTCCTGGAGGGCGAAAAGACCCATCTGCTGCAGCAGGTGGACCACCTCAAGCAGGAGATCTCCAGACTGGTGCGCGAGAGAGACGCGTACAAAGAGAAGTACGAGAAGCTCATCAGCAGCGGCTTCAGAGAAAACGGATCCAGCAGCGACAACAACCCGTCGTCCCCGGAGTTTTTCATGTGAGTTTACCGGCACTTAATAGAGCAGCGATGTGCAAAAGTTGCGTACGCGCGTTGTTCTCTCGTTGTGTTGGATTGGGCGCACGCGGGGCAGTCACGTTTTCCTCTCACTTTTATTATTAGTATATATATATTTTTTTAATGTAGATACATTTAATCCAGTAATGAAGAAATCGAGCTTTAGAGCTTAGCCCACGCAACTTTTGCTCTCCGCTTTTGGACAATAATAAGACATTTTCCATCGCCGAGTTGTTATCATTTTGTTTATTCTGTTGAAACTGTAATATGTGAACGTATACTTTCATTTGATACTTCCTCATGTTGTCCTACGCCTCGTGTTGCGTAACTTTTAACTTCACATTTTTGTAAAGTTCAAGTGACATGCTGGTTACGTGAGGGCACTGTACACTGAAAGCATGGAGAAGTGTTTGAACTCATGTCGAGTGTCTGAACAGACTCATTTCCCTCATAAACTGAGCGAGACTGACATTGTTTCATTCAAACTCCATCACATTTTGTGTTGTTGTGAAGAACTCACTCAGTAATGTATTTATTTGTGTGTCGGACGCGATATGTCGAGCCCACATGCTGGTCATGTTGGCTGCCGATGTTTTGTGTTTCTTTTCCCTGAACGAACTGAACTGAAACGCTCCGATGTTACATTCATTTTCTCATTGTCTGGTGTCCACTTTTTGGGACTCTGAGTAAAAAAGTGACATCTTTTCATCCTTTACATGAAACATTGCCTCCATGATTCTTGCGACAAACTCCTGTCATTTTTGTACAGCAATTTTAGTGATGAAACGTGTTTTGGCAAGAAGAGTGATTCTGTATGATTATGCTTTTTTTTTCGGACGAAGAGACATTATTAAACCCCTGAAACAATTGTAACTTATCTCAGTGTGATACACTTAAGACTGAAAGATTTGCAATTTTGACAAATATGTCACTCCACATAGCCATTGCTTGACCATAAAATATGGTAAAACGAGCGATTTCGAACTGTTCGATGGACTAAAGTGTTTCTAAATTATTCTCAGAAGAATTTTGAAGCCTATCACTGAAGAATGAAGAGTTTGTCTTGGCACGCGCTCGAAATACTGCACTCAAACCTGTTATTATAGCATTTACATCTAAATATAAATCAAATTATTATATGATAGAATATTGAAATATTTCGGAGCACGCTGCTTTAAAACATTTACTTGCATCAGGTGGGAAATAAGACCTTTAATAGCCCCAGCTTATACTTGTGCTACTGTTAATACAATGTTTTCATATTTGATATCGATTAATTCACAAAATAATGACTGTACAAACTGGAGCAGTATAGTTCATCAATAAATGTTAAATATTGCAAATCAAATGTCCTCGTGTTATTTGAGTACGCCTAAAATGTGAGACTCCCACTGAATAGCTACCGTATTTAATATCACATGCTGATTGGGAAATTAAATACGAGTTTTTGATGTTTAATGTCTGATCGTTTTGAGGAAAGTTCACGATTTCACTTGTTGCCGCGAGACAGTTCGCTCGAGTTTCGCCAGATGAGCAAATATACATCTTATTAAATCGGATTTGCTTACATTTTAATTGAACTGAAATAACATATGACACATAAAATTATTTTTAGTTGAAAAAAGCCAACATAACATTGTATAAAGCAACATTTTTTGATAAACATGACAAAATGCGCTCGCACTTTGCACTGCATGCGCTGTGTGAGTTTATATCAGAATAGTTCAATACCTAATTCACTAAAGACAGATTCGATATAATATAATAAAAAAATCATTCACAAGCAAAAACTTGTATTTAAATAGCACTTGATTTCAGGAGCGAAACAGACCTTTTTTCCTCCCTTTCCGTTTTTAAAATTGATTTCTGTTACTGTTAAAAATCTCATTTCGTGCACCGCAGTTTAAACTCATCTTATCACACACGAGGACAGTTCAGTTTCGCTGCCCTGGTTAATCATTAATTTAGAGAGAGTTACTTGCTTAAACTGTCATTCAAATAACTGGTATATTCCGCAAAAACTGTGATTTTGACAAACAGATTCGCCTCTAAATCACTGGAGCTTTTCCAAAGTGCACCTAAAACTGACAGAACCTGCAAGTTCGATAACTGATCATGTTTCCTTTAGATAAGAATAACTTGATTGTGACCCTGTAGACTATTAACAATAACCTTTATTTATTTTCTACCAGTCACTCTTGACTACCAGTCAGGCCTATTTAGAAATATCATTATACTTAAGAGTTCATCAAAACAAACGAGTTGTGGTCTGTTTGTGTTTTCTAAAGCACAAAACAAAATTCACAAGTATGATTTGGCATTGTTTATATGCCATAACCTCCACTTCTCACCCACCAAATACCCCTGAAGATTTCAAATAACACCCTGTTTCTCAATGTCACATCTCCTTTTTGTTTTCTCCACTCTTGACGTTTTCGGCTTCTTTATCTCTTTAGGCCCATCATCGTTCTCTCAAGCCATGAGTATTATCAGCCCCAAAATAATTAGAAGAGTGAGTCAAGCTTCCCCTCTCATTGTCACAGCAAGCAGGACGTGGGCACACAGCTGGAAAGAAGTGTGTGTGTGGGGGGACGTCTGAATTCAGGGCGTTCGGTGAAAACTTAGTGGCTCATCAGCACAATGATGATTTGAATATCAAACGGATGACGCACACACCCTTAAACGCACCGCGTTCAGAGCCCATCTTTCATTCGCTGGGCTGTGTGAGCTCAGGGAAAAGGCTGTATGGTCCACACCGTGGAAAGCACAATGATTTCTTGCATGATTAATAGTGGAGAAAAGACCTTGTTTCTGCTCCTTTAAATTGATGAATCATTGGTGATTTTCCCCAGCTGGGCTTCGACTGCCTTTGAGTGGCTGCGGTGCCCGTAATTTATGGCTTTTCTGTTTGATAAGGTCAAAACGCAAAACCGGTTAATGACATCACCGTTATAACTCAGAACTGTAGACACGCACTGTACCAGACAGCAGGTGCAGCGTGGACTCTTTCTATTCCAGTTATTCATTTTATCATTATTATTTCTTTAATATATATTTTTTTTAATATGCATCTAGTTACAGCTTTTTAGCCAGAGATTTTTTTTTTGAAATAAATGTTTATTATTATTATTATTATTACTACCACTACCACTACTACTATTACGTATGGGTTTGTTTTGGTCACACCAAATATGACACTTTTGGTATCTGCTTCAGAAAACTACAACAAAACTTAAAGTGTGCATTATCAATTCAGTACGTTTCCTTTTTTTTTTTTTTTCTATTCCATTTTTTAATACTTTTTAAAAATATATACTTCTAGTTCCAGCTTTTTGCCAGAAATATTCTATTTTTATTTCATTTTATTTTATTATGTTTTTATTTATTTTATTTTATTTATTTATTTTTTTGGTTCACACTGATTATGATACATTTGGTGACAGTTTTAAAACTTAAAGTGTACATTAAAAAAGTGTAAAGTGAAACATTAATTCAGTATGTTCTATTTTTGTCCTGTATGATATATATATATATGACATATACATACATATATATATATATATATGTCAACTTTTTAGACAGAATTTATTTATTTATGCAGTCTAAAAAATGCTGGGTTAAATATAACCCAGCGCTGGGTTAAAAAGGGACAAACCCAGCTATT